TGTATCACATGATTTTACAACCCAGTATATAATATTTGCTTTACAATATTCCTTCTCCAATTCTGTCCATAGGCAAGATGACCTAGTATACAACACATGAAAATCTTTGTCTCAGTACAATTTTCTTCCTCTTCCACTTACTAAAGAATTCTAGTTCTTAGGTTCATAGGCACTAAAGCCAGATACCAAATAATTCTTCCTTACTTGGTCACCTCCTCAAGAAAGCCTTTAGTTGACCCACTAGGTCCCAATGAACACTGAGCACTATTATCTACCTTCCAAATCTTTCAAAGGCACAAAATCATCTTCATTGAAGATCTTATCTTTTCAAATCACAGCCATCCATATAAAAGTCTTCCAAGACTACATCCAACATGTCTTGTATGATTCTCTGGTTTTTCAGGTATTTACTATAACCAGGTATCACCCATATCTTTTTCCCCCAACTTCATTTTCCTCCTCAGTCATCCCCTACCAAGTCTGAATCATCATCACTATTCTCCATCCCCAGGTCGCTACTCTGTAACGCCCCTTCCTCCTCATTGTCTTTCTCGTCCTGTTCCCCATTCTGGACCATGAGAGTGGGGCTGTTGGCACCTGTAGGCTGTGCCTCACTTAACATGGGGTTCACGTGAGACGTCTGTAACGCTGAGGTCTGCAGAGCTTCCAGAGTGACCGCCTGGGTGCTGATGAGCTGACCGTCTGATGAGAAGTCTGAAATGTGAAAGAGGCTGTTACTGCAAGTGATATGTTGTATTAAGACAGGGACGCATAAAATCCCATCAACACAGAAACTAACCACTCTGTATTATGAGGATACTATGATGGGGAAAAAATTACAACCAATAGTAAAAACCAATAGTAAGTTTCAGAATAGTACAGAAAACCCATATTTTTCAGAAGGGAAAAGCTTTCTTAAATAACTGGTCAAAAATTTTTCCTAAGCATCTTGCCAATTTTAGGCAGAGATTGGCTGGCGAGTGTTCTCCTTTTCTTTACCCATGCCCACTGAAGTTGCTCGAGGGATATTTGACTTTGGTGCACGCTTTAACTCAAAACAATTTAGCAAGAAACCCCTTGGAGATAGATCAATCCTGCTGGTACAACAGGGTATGGGAATGGTCCCTAGGTCATAACAGCCAGTTAGGCCGCTTAAACTGAATGCAATTTAGCGAGTATCCCCTCAGAGTTAGAACAATCCTGCTAGTACAAAACAGGTTTATGGGAACCCAGTCCTACATATATTTAGCTATGTGGAGGCCATAGTTCCCACTTACAAGGTACGACAGTGATGGTACCCGGGGTTGGACCAGCTGTGCTCCCAGTACTGGTCTGCTGCTGTTGTTGTTGTTGCTGTTGTTGTAATGAGGACACTTGCTGTGGTTGAGGCTGAAGATTTGCTATACTATCTGGCCAGAACCGCTGGACAGGGCGGTTGTTCTGAGGCTTGTTTTTCTTGGCTTTGCTACCCTCTGGGTTGGAGGCATCCAACATGGGTTGAAGTATCCGTCTTCTGGCATTGATAAACCTATGAAAAAAGCACCAAAAGAAACCATATACAGAAGTGAAAATTAAATTTCACAAACAGTAAAACAACCATACTTGAAATTTAAAGGATTTACTTACATCGGGCATCCCCCCCCCCAAAAAAAAAAAAAAAAAAAAGTATGATGGCATTATGCCAATAAATGAATTCAGAAGGCAATAAGGTCCAAGCAGGTTGGTCTCCTGCTTCAGTTATTATATTCAAGAAAACTGCCGAATTTTCTTTTCAATCTCCAGTATCATCTAAAGACCGCTCACCAGTTATTCACTTGCAGTAAAGTGAGATTTGTTTGTCCTGCTATCTGCCTTTTTTCATCTTCAGTGGGATATGGATGCTAAAAGATAACAACACAATTTGTGTACACAACAAGATAGCAATTATGACAGTATGCAATTCAATCATCCCAATAAAGTATATCACATAACATAATCAATATTTCTCTAATAGTTGCATCAAATGTCAGTAAAATTTAAAATAAATACTTGTCTGAATCATTCCCTTTGACTCTCTGGTCATAAATCAGCTCCAATGTTTAATTCAACTGAGCCATAACTGATTTATCTTGAGTCAAAACAGACTAAATTTTTGGTCTAAAAGGTTAGACCAACTTAGGGGCTTAAGTCCCGCGGTGAAGCAACCCCCAAGCCCCAGTTTCAAAAAAAAAAAAAAAAAAAAAAACTGAAGTCAGCTTCCAGGCTTAGTTGACTAGGATTTTCGTGAGAGTGCTGTTACATTGCTCCTGATAGTCTAAGTTGTGCCCATGTGACCATGGGGCTAAAAACACTTAGACACAGACTTACCACTATATGCTGAAACAGCCAAGACTTCATCACTTGTGTGGCCTGTTTTGGCAGCACGCCTCGCTTCGCTTTTTTCTTGGCTGAATCTTCATCTTCGGACGGAGACAAGGGCATGGAAGGCGTGGAAGGGTGGGGACTAGTTACTGGAAACAAACGTTAAAATGAATATTTCAGAACATGCAAAAATTTCCAGATGATTACAGTACACTGTTAATGAGGATCCAGGAGAACGGTTTATACAGGTATGAGACTGCAAATTAGTGAAAAGGCTGGAAAATATGGCACAAAGTCTAGGGGGCTCCCAAAAAATCAGAAATTTGCTGATAGTTTGAAAGATCCCTTTTCTGTATTTATGTAGATCCATTCTACTTCAGTATACAATCATGAGTTACAACAACTACTGTTTTTAAAACAGACATATTTCAGAAAATAGCTTATGATTTATCTTAGGTTAAGTAAGACTAAAATTTTGGTCAAATAGTTTAGGGACAGATTTTAATATGTAAATTTGGCTTCTGGCCTGGATACATGTTTATGTGCATGACACTAGTGTCAGTGCTGTATGTACCTGTTTGTGTGCGTGACACTGGCGTACTGACGGTGGGGACACCTATCTGTGACAGTGGTGTGCTGCCGTGTATCACAGAGGCCACCTGTGGCTGCACTGCTGTCTGGATCTGAAACAAAAATGTTTTCATGTCAATGCTAGCGCAACTGCTTCAAAGCCATAGCAGAAATGTATACTCAATAACTTTGTCAAGAAGACTACTTTAAAACTTAAAGTACACGAACAGACTCAAAACTTGTTTGTATGTGTACTTTTTGGCATGCATGTCAGACTCTGGATTTGTGCTTACAAGATAGATTGTTTGTGTGCCTGTGTGTGTGTGTGTGTGTGTGTGTTGTGTGTGTGTGTGTGTGTGAATGTAATTACGTGTGTGTGTGTGTGTGTGTGTGTGTGTGTGTGAATGTAATTACGTGTGTGTGTGTGTGTGTGTGTGTGTGTGTGTGTGTGTGTAAATGTAATTACATGTGTGTGTGTGTGTTTGTGTGTGTGTGCATGTGTGTGTTTTTGAAGCCCACAAGGGCACCCTCACCTGTATCGGCTGTGCCACAATTCCCTGTGGTGTCTGCACCATCTGGTACACAGTTCCTCCAGACACTATCTGTCCCGGGTTTAGAGCCACCGCGGCTTGCTGGACACCTCCAGCATTCTGTAGCACAACTGTGCTTCCCCCCATTGTGGTAACCCCAGATGACACCCCAGGGCTACCCTGAGAGAGCCCCTGGTGGGGGGAGTCAAAACTATCATCTAAACTATCCCCACTGGAACTCTCTGTCCTTAGTATGTTTTCACTCTGGAGTTTTCCTTTCAGGCAGGCGATGTATCTGTTACAGAAATCCTTGCACAGTTCATTTACTTTTTCAAGTTCCAGTAGATGAATCCTTAACACTTGTATAGATTTCACCATCTGGAAGTAAAAAAGATATGAAAGAGGTTTTATAATATATAATTAAGCAGTAATATTTAGACTCTGAAAAAATTATACACTGGTGCTTAATCAAGAGTCTGCTGCTATGTTATAGGCACAATTCAATGAAAGAAAATTGTTTTACAGAACTGAGATACATATAATTACTAGTACTTCTTTAAACTTAAAACAGGCATTTACCACCTCTATATCAGCAAAATAAAACACACACACTCCTATTCTCTCCTAAACAAGGACAAACACTTTTTCCCTCTCACTTACATTCTCTCTCTCTCTCTCACACACACACACACACACACACACACACAC